AGCTTGACAGATGGGTGTGAAATGCTTTTTGTCTTGAACATCAACTCTTAACTCACACAGAATTTAGACTTTTATTTCTTTATTTGTACACACACATACGTATCCATGTATATGTGTGTGTGTAATACATGAATGCAGAAAATCTGTATTTCTGGTGCTTTGAGTAAATCATTCATGCTGGAGGTGCAGTCTCCTGTCTGATTCTAGAATCTTCCACCTGAATTTGCACAGGCCACTAGAAGATGGAAATCGTCCCATACTAAGGCTCGGCAGCTGGGACTGAGCAGCATGCTTCTCTCACAGACAGACAAGGCCTGTGCTTAGCAAAAGCTCATCTTACTTCTTCTGGAGCAGGTTATGGGGTGTGCCTTGCAATGCTCACGTTACTCTTGGACTTTCTGACTTCTGAGGTCAGAAGTAGATAAAAGCTGTGGCAGTAGCGGCTGGATGCCATTTCCTTGTGGCACCGAGCATGAAATGCCACTGGCAATAGAGGGGCATCTTCATGTTGTGATCATCAGAACTGTAGTTAATGTTGGGTGTTTTGTTCTTTGTAATTAAAGTTCAAATGACCCTTGGGCTGTATAGGGAAACTCAGGTTTGGCATCAGTCTAAGTGGCTGTTTGCAGCAGTTGTACCTTATTTGTCTTTCTGACTGTTTTATTACAGCTGAAATTTGTGGAGATTTTACTTTCTGTTTTTCAGGATAACCTGACAATTAATGAACAAAGGTGCCACTCCTCCAGCAAGATGGTCGCCAAGTTTCTTTATCATGGCCTCGTGTGTTGGTGACATGGTTTACAAAATCTGTCTTGAATGGTTCTGTCCCCAGTCTTCTGAATGTGGTGTTGAAGTACCATATCCCTCGGTGTACACTTGCATGCATCATTTATACCATACTCTGTGCTTCTGCTTTGCCTGAAAGGTTGTTAGAAAAGGATTTGTTAGCGCATTTCTCTAATTCTGGAGGTGATGCCCAAGCTCTGTGTGCCAGTTCCTTGACAAGAATTATCTTGGAGATTCTCCCATTAGAACTGGGAGTGTGCCTTGCGGGTGTCTCAACAATTATATGAAGGTCAGAGAAAGACTTTCCTTGGGGGAGAGGGACATGTTCCTTTGGTGGCAGATGAGGAGTCTGGAGTGGCATGTCCACAAGACTGCAGCCACAGTTGGTTTAGTGTAGCTGGGGTAGAGCAGATGGAAAGGAACAATCCCCTGTTCTGGCTATCCTCACGGCTGGGCTGTTGGGAATGATACTGTGAGGGAGGGAGGCAAAGTGTATGGAAAGAATTAAGAAACCCTTCAGCAGCTCTCTGTTGAGTTGTATCTGTGTGTCTTGATCTCAGCTACCATTTCCTCTTTCCCATAGGCTGCAGGGGATGGTTGGTGTATGTGAGGTTATAGCTTGTATAAACACCAGTGTAAGTTGTTGTGGGGAGCCACAGGGCTGCCTGGTTTGTTACCGCAGTCACTGAAGTTTCCCACTGCCTTCAGTGTCCAGGATATGAAAGTTACTGCTGTAAGATGGATGAATCCTAAAACACCAGTGACATAAATTTGCATCGGGTTCCTTCTTGGGTTATAGCCTGAAGTTTTGGGTTTTACCTGTTTCGGTGCCCCAGACAGCCAAACTTCTGCCATAGCTGGAAGTTTCATCAGCTGACTTACTTACTGGATGTTACCGATAAACAGTTTTCTATTAAGCCTAGTTACTGAGCATCAAATTGGAGCACCAGCTTCATCCCATCACCTGTGATTGATGAATTTTCTTTTAATAGTGCTTTTCATATGTGAAATTATTACTGTAATTATTAGGAGTCATTTAGAGCTGTGCTGCTCTTTCTGAAATAAAGTTTTTGAAGTGTTTTCATAACCACAAGGGAGGTGATCTAAACCTGTCGTGAGGCCCATTGCTTCAGTGCACAAGAAACTCCGCGAACAAACCAACAAAACAAAAATCAAACCACAGGGTTCTGTGGTTTGATTACTGAGAATACCAGTAATTAGCCAGTAAATTTTTGAGGAAGAAACTTGCCATCTAATGCCTTACCTTTTTCCTCTCCAATTGCAGATTCATAAGTTGCTGCATATTATGGTCTTACCCTGCCTTTCCATTTGTTTTTAATTAACTTCTTTGACCTAACTTACAGTCATTAAAGATTGCAGAGCCTGTGTTTTCTCCTTTTCTTCACGTAGTAGTTGTAGCATGAAAGGTCTCTGGTTTACTTCAGAGCAAGAGCGGTTTGTTCTACTTTCTGCTGTGTTGCACTATTGGAAAGACCTTGCTCCTTGTCCTTGACCTGAAAAACAAGAACATTTTTCTTAAGCTTTTATTTTCACATGGAAGTTTTAATTCTTGTGAAATGGCATTTCCCCTTTCTGATCTGGAAAAACAGTCGCAGTCAAGGAGGCAGTAAAATTGTCAGGAGCCTGTTACCCAGTGGTTTGGGTTTCCTTCATACTGAGTTTATCTAATGTTTACTTCTGTTGCTGAGAACTGTGAAAGTGTCTTTTAAAACGATGTGTAGTGGTGGGCACGTGTCCTTGAGTAGAGTACCGTGCCTGGCTTCATGTAATATTTTTTTTGTAGCTGAGTGTTTTCTGAGAGAGAAAAGTGACAAAACCAGCAGCGTGGGATGTTCCACAGGAGTAACTTTGTGCGCAGGAATCGTGTGGCCACTTTGCTGGGGGAAAGCACGACTTTGAAAATCTTTTAATAGTGCAGAATTGATGGGATGGCCGAATACTTACAGAAATTGTTTTCATAGAAGTGCAGGGATTTGTACATTAAAACAGAGCAACTTGTTTCTGGATGCTAAATGTAACTGGATTTATGCCTGGAAGATTATTCTGATGTTGAGTTTATGTATGTTAGCTCCTTAAACAATTTATCCTATGGTGCTCAAAACCTTTACTTCAGATACCCTCTGCTGTGGTATCTTTCCCATTCAGGAGTATGTAAGGAAAAAATGAATTTAGTTTTGTAAAAGTATTAATCATATTTATTGTGCTGTTAAGTATACTCAAGTGATAGATTTATCTTTGCATAATAATTGCTTGGACTGTTACTGACAGTTTGGATCAGATGAAATAGAGTATGTACTCAATGTCTTAGTATGTACTCAAAGGGAGAAGAGAGTCAAACTGTTGAATGTGAAGGGTATGCTGAAGGACTTGTAGGTGTATCCTGGGAGAAATGGTGACAGAATCTGGTCCTGTGTCCAAAGAACCACTGGTGTTCTGGTGTGGTTCTCATATTGCAGAGTACAGTGAAGGCATCTTTCTCCAGCTAAGGAGGCTTTCACAATACCAGCTGTCAGTGTAGTACAACCTGTGTGAGAGGGAAAACATGAAAAGAACTGGGTGGCAGTTTTCAACCTGGATTTGGGAATGATGGGAGTTCGTGGGTGCGTTTGTAATGGTGAAAAGAAATGGGGAGCTTTTATATGAGTGTATGCACCTACACAAGCTTTTGTTTATTTTCCTGTTGTCTTGCTGTTTAAGTGCCCTGTTTATGCAGTTTACTGCATTTTAATCTTCTATGTCTCATCCCAATCCATGAAGCATTAGGAATTGATACGAATAGTTTTCTGGATAGAGATATGCTGTGAAGAGCATCTTCATACTTGCACAGTCTAGTCCTCCTAGGGCAGGCTAGAGGGTTTTCTGTTTGGATGGCTCTATTTGTGTATTGTGTAGCCTCCTTTGGTTATCACTGGGATGCACAGCTGCTTCTAACACTCACCAGTTCATGCAGATCTCTCCAGCCTGTTAGAAACCCCCAAACCAAAACCCCAACAAATCTTGTGCATTGAGCATAGTAAAATAAGGAAAATTCTTACTACTGTAAAAAATTATCATCAAGAAGAAGAGTTTCTGCAGTGTGTATTGTGTATTGTAAGTTGTGTCTGATGCACTGAACTAGGGACAGAAGGGGGTGGAACAGCAGTTTCACTTCCTCTGCTGTGGGGAAAATGCATGAATTAATTGTTTGGTGTTGGTGTTTTGGAGTTGAGAGACAACATGAAACCAGTGTAAACCACAGGCAACCTCTGATAATATCAGTGAGCCATAATGTAACCTGTTACACAGAAAGGGAAATTGATACACTATCTTCAGGGTGTGTATTTGTATTTTAAATTGCATGTGAGGATTTAACACCAAAGGGCTCAAGGTACAAACCAAAACGTTGTCCCCTCCTTTACCCCTCTTCCCTTCTGCCCCATTTGCAATACCATACATACTAAACTGCTGCATTGGGGTGGACTGGCACAAGGCAGTGTGATATTCCATACTGAATATGCCTTCCCATTAAAATCTTTGGCCGGTAGGTGGTTGTTCTGGAGGAGAAGGTAGATATAACCAGTCTGATTCAGAGGAGAGGCAAGGAAGTCGAGCTGTGAGCAAATACTAGTGATGTGGTGTTGGGAAATACCATGCTGTATGGTGCAAGCAGTGGGCAGAATTAGATCCACTAAAGCATGAACTGGCTTTTTTTCAAATATAAAACTTATTTTCACAATCGTAATTTCTTCTAAAGGCAAGTCCAGATCTAGGCCTTAACTCTTAAATAAGAACAAGAGAAGGTATCATGCTTTCTATGCTCCCCGAGTAGTCCTTTTTGCCGTAGCTGTTTATACTACCCAGTTGTGATGAAGTACCTAGAAGTGCCTGTTTCTGACACTTATGCAGGTAAATAGAATGGCCTGAAGAGTTTCTAGGTAATTATCTCTATGCAACTGAATTTATCTGCAAGTCACATGAGAGTGATACTTGGAATTCAGTCATGTTGTGCTATGAGTTAGATTTTGAACTAGTATTTTTGGGATTGACTCTAATGGCTTCTGTCTCTTACTAGAAGTTACAGACTCAGCTGCCTATCGACAGCCGCTCTACTTGTTTGATCTGGGTGTAGGGAAAAAGAACAAACTTGTTATCCTGGTACTAATTTGGCTGGTTTCAGGTATAGTAATTGAATTTTGTTTCTTGGTCCCTTTCAGCTTGTACCTCCTTTTAAACCTCAAGTGACATCGGAGACAGACACCAGGTATTTTGATGAAGAATTTACAGCTCAGACTATTACAATAACACCGCCTGAAAAATGTAAGTCAGAAATTACACGTAAGCCTAATTTAAAGATAATAAACTCCTAATAAAACACTGCAGAAGGGCTTTTTCTGTTTGAATGGAAAAGCTCCTCACTGTTACTAATAAAAATCTTCATATGGAAGCATGTAAGAGTAACTCTCAGTGACAGTGTTCTTTTAAAGGAGGAGTAATTACAAAGGTTAGAATATTAGATCACTCTGGGTTGGGTTTGGGGGGCATTCTTTTGGTGTGCTTTTGTTTTGTTGTCATTTTAAATAAAAGAAAACACCGGCTTCAAATGTTTGCTAGTTGGCATCAAGGTCCCAGTTCAGCAAAGTACTTGGAGCATGGGCCCTGCTTTAAGCACATTGGCCACTGCTGGTGGCTTCAGGGGGTTCTAGGTTCACTGAGTTGGACATATTTTAAAATGCTTCGAAGACAAAAGGGGTAAAATAAAAAAAGTGGAGGTGTCAGTTACCTGAAAATGAATTTTCCCATCAAAGTCGTGTGCTTCAGCTGAGCTTTTAAAGACATTCCCAGTATAGATGTAACTGCTCTGCTGGGCCTTGCAGTTTGCTTGTTGGAGTGAGTGTAATGTCACCATAGTTTATGTTTTTGTCATGTTCTGCTACATACGCAAGAATCATGATCCAGTCGGCTAAGCCGGAGCTTAACAGAGTTCCTTACCAAGGCAGAGCAGTTAAAATCTCGCTGCTGAGTTCTTGAATGAATTTCCTTTATAAGTGAGATTTTTTTTATCTTTTTTTTTTTTTTTATCAGAGGATGGGGAAGTAGGATCACAAAGGTGGACTATAAAGGCTGTAGTTAAAGTTGTTTACCCTTTCATACAGCTGCTTATGTTTTGGTGTTTTAGGATCCCCAGGCTTAGCTGCAGTTTTCTGTTGGCATACAGATCTGGAGTATTTTCTAGATTTTGCATTTCAGTGTTTAAACAGAGTCATTTAAGTCTCCCTGCTGTGACAAAAATACACCTTTCTTCTCCCATTCATCTTGATAAGAATTTGGTCATATTTGTAATTTGAACAAATTTTGTTAAAACTTGGATTAACTTGGAGTCTGTTGACTCCGTATCATAAAGTCCTGATCTCTTGAAACGTCACATGTGCAATGAGAATGGCTATTCATCCCTCGAAGGCTGAAGCAATAGAAAATATGTGATAGGCTACCAAGACTTCAGCTTTACATTTACTGAATTCAGAGCAGGTGATCAGTACCCATGCAGGAAAGTGACCGACTTCCCTAAAGTACCGACCCTGGCCTCTGGTGGTGGTCTGGCTGCTGCAGAATGAAACATGGCATGGGCTGCAACCTCACCCCAGTCCCGAGAATAATATAATGGGGGGTGATGCCCAGCAGCAGTGCAGAGATCAGCTGCACGTTGCTGCTGGGGGAAGCCCTCCCAGAGAGCTGGCAGGGCTGCATTGCCCAAGGCTGCGGTAAGCAGCATCGGTGGCAGCACAGAGGTGGAAGTTCTCTTGTGCCAGGTAGATCTGGAAAGCTGCTGCCGCTTTCAGTGAGCTGCAGTGGCTCGAGGACCACGGGGGTTTCCATTTGCTGAGTACCGCAACAGGAAATGGTTTTAAATTATTTTATTTTAAAATCTACAAGTAAATGTATTATGCACAATATGGCATTATATCTGCCTGCTGTGATTATGCAAGAGGGGGTTGAAATGTGTTTTAGGTTGGGTTGGTTACTGTGTATCAGAAAGGTAAAGTTCCTGCTGAACTAAAGATCTTTTATAGTTGCAGAAATAATTTTTATAACATTCAGACCAGTTATTCAGATACCAAAGCTTTACAAATCATGCTCAGTGAATAGTGAAACTATCTTCTATCTACAGCAATCAAACTGATAACAAAACAGGCTCTGTTCATTAACCTAATTTAAATTAACAGTGTGAAAGGGAGATTGTACTTGAAGTTACAGAACTGTGAGGCACTGTTGAAGTCAGGTGGCCTAATCAGAGCAATTGCTCCAACCTGCGTTAACTCTAGGGTTTTAGATGTAGAGTGTATAAAGATACAAAAGATACATAATTCTGAAAGGTTGCATATAAATACACTCTTAGAATAACAGTTTCAATAGGAGTCTTTAAGGATAAGCACAAAAATCCATGTGAGAATGTAGATCCAAATTCTCAGAGTTAGACAACATCTGGTGCCTGGTTTCCATTGGCACTGCAGGAATTATGTAAATAAAAATATTTATGAATTTGGCTTAGTCCATGTTTCCTCTGATCCCAGTAAATACTGTAAAAATAATTTACTAAGAAATAATATGTAAGAATTGAAACCCATAGAACCTGCATGAACTGTTCATTTTGTAGCTATTTTTTCTTTTAATTCCCTTCAAAATGGAGGAATATTGAAATAAGATTATAATTTCCTGAACTCAGCTTAAGAACCAATGAAGCTGGCTGCTTTGATCAGCCATCAGCTTTTGTGCTACCGGAAACTAGATGTGCTGGCCTGTTTTGAATAACCTAGAAGGGGTAGTAATAATTGAATTTCTCAGGTGATGGTCATAATAAAACAAACAAACCAACCAACCCACCCAGCCTGAAATAGATGGTGACTTATTCAAAGCATGTCCATCCAGGGAGCATCGCTCTACCGTGTAAGCATAAGTTTACATGACTAAAGTCTTGCTTCAACTTGAGCCTTTAACCTCGCCATTGAACCCTGAAAGATGTGCTGAGTATCAGGTGAATAATAAAACTTTGTTGCAAAAAGAATGACATGTTGAACTTCTCCCTTAATACAGATGACGAGGATGGTATGGACTGCATGGACAATGAGAGGCGGCCGCATTTCCCCCAGTTTTCCTACTCTGCAAGTGGACGAGAATAACTTTTTTGTTCTGCTGCTTCACTGTCATCTTAGGTTTATCACTGAAAATGGTTCCTGAACATCACCACCAGTACTAGAGACTATTTAAGATAGCAGGGGCACTTTCAGAGACCATTCCAAATTGAACAAGTTGCTTTCCCAAACCTACCTAAAATCCATTTTGGTTTGCATGAAATAGGAGAATTTCTCTACTACGCTCTCCCGCTGTTGCTGCTGCCCACAGTCTCAGTATAATAGCAACGTCAAGAAGTTACTAACAGTTTCTCTGAAAGTAGATGACTTGGCTTCAGCAATGTACACCTTGTGCACAAGTAGTCATCTATTTCTCCTCACAGTGGAAGCTAAACAAAAAACATGTTGGTCCAGCTTATCTTCTTCGAGAAGATGTATAAAAAATGTAATAGTCTAAAGAGACTAGTCTATAACCTTTCCTTGCATCTGTTTGTGCTGGTTAGAACAAGGCAACATAGGGGTGGTGATGTACATATGCAAGGTTTTTGTTAGGCATATCATTACTTGAAGCAGGTCTCTGTCATTAACATCTGGCTGGAATTTGTTTGGGGAATGTTTGCGAGAAGGACTTAAACTGTTGATATATATAAATATATATATATATATTATTTTTTAATTACTGTTGGATACTACAGAAGAAGCAGAAGGGCTGGGCTCACCCGGCCTGCCACTTAGAACTTCCAGGTTCATGTGCAATCATGGAGAATCAAACATTATACATGCAAGAAATGAAGGCATAAAAGCAGCAGTTTAAGGGGTCTTATAATTTGCACCAGATAACATCTTTCTCATGCTTTTCTTTTTCTTTCGTGATATACATCACCTCTGATGGCTGAAGAATGTAGACAGGCATAATGGTATTGCTTTTCACCAAAATGTGTGCACCAAGGTAAACAGGTGTTTGCCTTACTCGTTTTTCTTTTGAGGTTGTGAATTAGCTTTTTCTCCAGGTGTTTAACTCTGAACAGTCTTTTTATTTTGGTTGTTTTTTTTGGTTATACTGCGGTAGTATTTATTTTTAGAGATAAGGATTGTATGTGTCATGTTTGCAAATGCTGCTACATCTTAGATAGAACAGGCTTAGAGCAGTTAATTTTGTACTATATGGAAGGACTGTACAAGCTGAAGGGAATAATGCACTTTTCTCCCATGTGGAAATTTTAACAAGGCTCTGAAATTGTACACACTGCGTAGAATCAGATTTTTATGAAAGGAATGCTGTCGTTTAATCATTTGGCAGTGGAGGTGAGGAATTCCAACTTCATGTGCCAAAGGGTTAAAAAGAAGCAGACAAAAAGACTGCATCTTGTGCTCCATAAATGTGATGTAAGAGGCTGATGGCACAATAGCAAATTTCTGTTCTGTATGAAGGAATTGCATTTGAACAAGATCACCGTGATTACAAGAAAAGCACTTTATTTTAATGATTAAAATAGTAAATTTCTGGGATCAGCCATTCTCAAGGAGGGTTTGCCCTCAACCGAAAAAGTCCCGAAACCCATCATGTTACATGTAACTGTGGTACCTGATTGATTGAATTTAAAGCATCACGAGAAACGCTCCACTGATAGGAAAAGGTCTTTTCGTTTCCAAAGATCTGTCTCTAAAAAAAACAACATGTGCATAAACTTCAGCTTTGATCTTCAGCAATGATAATCTTAATAATAAACCCTTTGGTGCTAGGAGTCGGGACGTTAGGCAGCGCGGTGATAGCGCGCACGTATCCTTGCTAACGACACCCAAACCCCCTGACTCTGTGGGATTATCATTCGAAGTATCTCTGCGTTCGGATCATGTTAGGTCCCATGAAGACTGTGATAGCGCAGAGTATTGCTGGTTGTGTTGTATGAATGAGTAGACGAGTCTGTGAAGAGAGATACTCCTCTGCAGATGCCTTGGCCTCTTGATGCGGAAGGCTGTGTGCCCTAGCATGAAGCCCACTGCTGGCAGTGCATTTGCTGGGACAGTCAAGGGGCAGACAGGCATTCAGCAAGGCAGCTAAAGACACAGACTTATTTAGAGTTATTCATGTTTTGTGTTTTCTCTTTAGTAATGGATGGATAATCAGTCAGAAATATATCATGATGTATATTCTAGCTACATAAGATCTCCTTCTGTCACCTTATAACACTAAACACGTCTAGGGATTAGATTATCCCTCTGCAGAGAGAGGAGCACAGCGCATGCATTGCAGGTCTGCTTGGCACTGGAGGCATAGAGGTGTCTGCGCGCTGATGCAGTGAGTGACTGACTGAAGTAACTGAGTACTTATCAATCAGATGGGCATTAATGAGTTTTCTGCAAAGACCTCGTGCTTACAGACTGAAACTGTGGTGATTCAGAATCTGTTACATGCCTGTGTTTTTCCCCCTGTGTTGTCAGCTTGTAATAGCAATAAGTTTCTTGACACAGGGCTCCTGTAGCTAATGCCCAGCCAGTGCCATGCCTCTGGCCAGCCGCTTCTCATGTGCAGAAGCAGCCCTGTGGCTAGCGCACCATTGCGTAGTGAGCTAGAGTGCGGTTTGCAGTAAATACCTGTCAGTGAGCTATTTCAAAAACCCGTCTGCCTTCCAGAACATCATTGAGCAAGTTTATGCTACAGAGAGAGTCAGTGGCCACTTCGTCCTGCCCAGGGTTGGGGAATTCTCTCTCTTACCAGTGTTAGAAGGGGATGAAAGAAAGGCAGTGCCGCGTGAAACTCTTGAAGCTCTTCTTTTGCTGTTTGCAGTTGTGGTTGGATTTGGGTGGGAGGTGGTGGCGGTTACCTTGGCGAGCCTTTGGAGCACAGTACGTTTCAGACTTTGACTCCAGCTTGTACTGACTTCCATGACCTAGAGTATGCCCTCCTTGTACTGCAGCCATCTCGGAGGAAGTAGGTCATTTCTGTTTGGATTTTGGCAGTTTTGCACACAGCTTCGCTTTCCACACTAATCCATCTTCCAGTACATTCCTGTCGCTTAAAGAACATTTATTCCAGTATTGTTTTCCGTTTTTTTTCCATCTTTACTTGCGGCTTCTTCAAGCTGACTGTTCTTGCAGGGGCCATGTGCTTCTCCTAGAGTACAAAAGTAAGGTCTTTCCTTACTAACTGCAGGGTCTATATATTACACCTCAATGTACACACTTTGCTGCTACTGTTTGTACTGTCTACAGTAGAATTTCCTTATCTTGCTCCTGGTAGTGCATTACAGGCAAGCATGAAATGTAAAGTATTTATTTAAATAAAAACCTCTAAATTGGTAATTGAATTACCTCCCTGTAGCTTTAGAGTTTGTGACATTTCTTGACCTTGCTAGTTCTTTCATTAGATCCATGCAAGATCTAGTCATATGGTTAAGGATATTAAGCAGACACGACTATGAACCCAAGGAACCGTATTACTGTAGGTCATACTTAAACTGTTTATTTCCTTAAGTATATGACCCACAAGGATGTGAAATAACTACAAGAAACTGTTTTTGTACACTGTACATCCTTAGTATTTTTACACGTATATGATAGGGATGCACATTATTTTCCTTCGTACAGACAGCTTAAATAAAGCACTATGTCAATCTGCTACTTCTGTGTTTTTTAATGCTAATTTGTTCTGGAGGTTTGTAAATATATATATATATATATGTTCAAGCTTGCCACAAAGGACGTATTTTTTTATATCTGCACATTACTATTAAATATCTTAGCGGATAAAATTCCTAAGTTGTTCTGTGTCAGAGAAAGAAAAACTGAAATGAGAAGGCTATATTGCAGATTACAAAAGATTTCTGGAGTTTTGGGTTAAATATTTACTTCATATTTTAAAGTAATTTTATATAGGTTAGACATTTCAATCCTGAAATGCACAAAGAATTTACTTAATTTCTTTTTACAAGAAAATGTACATCGTTATTTTTTTATCACTCTGTATATAATGACCTGTGCATGTTTAGTTACAAGTTTTATTTGCTGTGAAGTCCTAGTGATAACTGTAACTTGCTGTGACGTATTTCAAATGCTGGGTGATCAGTTTCAGCTTGTACATTATTAAGTTACAGTATTGTCAAAAAAAAAAGTTTTTATGACCAAGCAAGATGTATCTGTGCTTTGGACCAAGGCTGTTCCCATACAGATGGATCATGTTAATTCCACGAGGTGCATGTCACTTGTAAAAGGAAATTTGGGTTGCACTTTGGAAGGAATGATGGGCTATGCTCCTATCAGAACACCCACGATTGAAGTGATTTGTCATCTGATGAAATTCCTAGCCTTGCATCCTGGAGCTAAGTAATGCCTTAGGGTAAGGAGAGGAAAAAACAGGCAGGTGGGATTTGCAGGGCACCTCGGAGTGGGACTCTTTGAAGCCCATGAGCTGGCCCAGGGCCATTTGCACCAGCCGGCTCTGAGGGCTGAGTGTCCCTAGAGCAGTCGCCTGGGTTTTAGCTCAGGTCTGGGGCAGGAAGGCTTCCTTGGAATGGGAGGTGCTTTGTCCAGCTCTCAGGGTTTGGACTTTTTTTTTCCTCCTGTTTTCTCCCCCACCTTGTAATTAATAGGGAAGTGCATGACCCAGTAGTTCGGTGGGAATAGGTGACTGGTGATCAGCTGCAGCAGCAGCAGGACTGTCTGGCCAGGCTGCATGCCACGTCACAGGATCCTGCTCTGGCTGTGGATGTGGGATGTCCTGGATTTGGTCACCTAGTCTGACACTTGTAAACCCAAGCATTTTGTGCCTAAGGAGAAGTGAGGTGGGGGAGAGCTTTAGACAGGTAGATCTGGTGCTGCCTGTGCTTAATGACTAATTAATTGCTACAAAATAGAGTAGCTGCTGCCTGGAAATAGATTCCTTCTAGACTCCCAGAAAGGCACTGGATTGAGCCTACTCCTGGGATGAGTGTGAACACCTCCTCACCCAGGATGCATTGAGATGAAGTATGGCTGTGCAAAAGGTCCAAAAGGTTGAGGGTCCAGCTGTGCCTTGGGCCAGGGCACGGCAGCTCCAGGAACTCGGTGACGCCTAACTGTTGGGACTAGGTGCCAAGTTCTTTTGCGTGTGTAGTTTATAGGCACTTTCTCCTATCTACACACAGATTTATGCTGTGGAATAATAAAAAACAGATTTAAACAATAAGTTTGCATATTCCTATATTTATAAATGTATATTCTTACCTGTGTAACCATCCATAAAATAGTGACACTTAAATAATTGTCAGCCTGATTACTGTGGAAAACCCAGTTTTTGACTGAACTTATTGTCATCAGGCTTTCTTGTCCTAAAAACTTGAGGCCATTTTAAGTGTGTTTATTGTCAGACTGGAAGCAGTTCAAGGAGGCAATCAGATGTGTTTGGCAGTTTAATGTGGCAGGAAATTGAAGTAGGGAGGAAAGCCCACTTTGATGTTAGGGTTGTACCACTAATAATTCTTAAAATGCAAAGCAAGGAAAGATTGTCCCCCACACAGAGCAAATGGTAACTTCTTGCATGTGTTGTTACTCCTATTTTTGTTATATCTTACGTATTCATGCTGGCTGAGGTAGCTTTATTAATGGGGAACTGTTCTTTGCACTTTTCCCCCCTTTACTAAAGCAATTCTACAGCTACACTGAAGGTAGTAGATGTAGAAGGCTTTTTTCATATGTACGTAGATTCTCCTGTGCTAGTTAGCAGAAGATTTAGCTGAATTATTTCTGAAACAGTCCGGTATTTGGAAAGGAACTTTTCAAAACCCAGGTGTGCAGTTAACCAGAAAAAAGCCCTCCATGTATATCCTCCAGATGTTTTAAGTTCAGTAATTTGAAGCCAAGTTCAGCTGGTGCCCATCTGAGAGAACTGCTCAATATTTG